ATTCATAAGACGAATACATGGCATATAATACAAACTTTCACACTGAAAGTCGTTGGTCCATAGAACACGACAATGTGTATCCAAATGAAGCCAAGCACTAAAGTTGTGTGTCTGGTGTTCAAGTGCAAATTATTGTATAAGGTAAATTACGTAATCTTAACGCGGACATAAGACGTCTGATTTGATTGGATTATATTTTGAAATACCCGTTTGGTTCGTGACTTATATATTGTAATAAAAGTACAATGGCGAGTGTAATACCGCTACAGCCATCCTGAATTTCAATGCGTAACACCTACCAATGCATCATACACGGCGATACCAGGTCCAGTTTCATAACAGACAAGTGCTAACGAAATAATGTATCGTATTTTTGGACGAATCGAATCATCGGTAATTGCGCCCAAGTTGTTACAGCATCGGGTTTTTGGCTTCCATGCAATGTGTTATAGTTTTACATTGAAGTTTCGGGATCCCGTAAAGCCATCCATACTCTGACAAAAACAGTCGATATCCATGGTTACGATAGTTTTGAGAAAGTCACTAGGCGCACATGATTGTCTCGGATGTGCCACTTTCTTTCAAGTGCGTGAACACAAGCTCATTCTACATGCGTTTTTGAGTTATAAAATCTGATATACCTATTAGAAGTAAAATATTAAAACTTATTAAAATTCATTTTGTTCCCTTAAAATGTTTCTTTTCTTTTTTCATGCATTAACCTCGCCTTTTGTTGATTTCCAGAAATATATACAACATTAAATGTGTTAAATCCGCAATTTAACATTAGAGAATGCGCACAAACAGTTTTGGGACACCGACACGGGACAGTAAACGACACGAATGTTGATGTGACTCTCTTTAGGGACCCATGAACACTTAGACTGTCACAGTGAGATTCGCGAAAATGTGTCTCTCGCAAAACGGTTTACGGTGTTTAACAATTCATGATTTCACAGCAAGGAGCACAGTTTTGTTTCCAGAAAAATATTGCTAAGTGTCTTGTCAAGTAAGTTCAGTAATAATTCCTTACCTGACTGGCTTGTAAAACAAGTTTATGAACTTTTTCAATATATTCAGCATATCTAAGATTCAGCTGTGAAAGCTCCTTTTTCTCCTCCTGTCGAGTCATCGTTCCTGACGACCACGAACTTGTTTGCTTGGCTATTAGCCTTGGAAGTGATGAAACAAAAAGAAAACCAATTACAGAAAAGTGAGAGTTGTTGATTCAAGCTAAACGATTGGGACACATGAATGAAATGGTTTTACTTACTGGTTCATAATAATGGATACTTGGAGACGTTAAATTCTTCAGTTGGTTACTGTAGAATTGTGATTATCTACTCCAAGAAACTTCTTATATATCCCACTGCATGGACATACCATTTTTTATTCATAGTTTCTCGTCATTAGAAATGACACTCACACATTTCTGAAACCGAATAGTTTTTCTCCCAGATCACTAAATTATGCGAAAAAAAACTGTCTCTGTTGCACAAATTAAAAGTTTATAATTTCAACAATTTCAAACTATTCGAAAACGTTATCCCCAAAACTCTTTGATGTCCATGACATGTAACTAGAAAGCATATCTGTATTGCCGTGTTGCTAGTAAACAATACTAAGATGTTTACATTGACTACATGTGAAAACAGGCCATAGAGGGCAGCTATTGCCCTAATTGATCCAATTGATCGTCCATGCATATACCATTGTGTTGTAAATAACATAAACTATGACAACAACATAGTAAATAGTATGTATATATATATAAATAGTAAAGGTAATAGATTATTATTTATTTTTCATATTAATATACATTGGTAGTAAATCAGACAATTCCCAGTATTGTCGGTTAATAAATATACACAACATGCTCTCGATTTTTGCATTGTACATGTACTGTCTTTGGATGCCTGAAAACATTTCTTTTATCTCAGAGGCAATTTATACGAATAGTTTAACCGATTCGTTCGTTTACATAAATAATGAACATTTGACAAAATGCCGTATATCCCTAATCTTCCCGCCGTATTCAATACAGCGCAATATATATTTACCATTTTGTGCACTGCGTTTTACATGTTCGAAGTTTGCTGTTGCCATGTGTGTTGTCTGTGTTGTAATAACACAGACACAGTCCTTCGACACCTGTGACATAGAACAATACAAGTTGTTGAGTCACATAGACCATATCGTTCACAACTGACCAGATAAATCTCGTATTCAATGGACGATGTTTCATTTCAAGCACACAATATGATCCTATAAAATTGCCCTAATTTGTGATTGTTAATTATTCTCAGCACGTCCAGTTTCCATTTTCAGTGTGTGTGACACTTTTATGACTTTATTTTCAACGTTTATATACAATGAACGGCTGCTAATTTTAAGCGCAGTATATTAGTATATGTTTATGTCAATGTACGTCCACCTCAGTCATGCTCTCTGAAGTCGGTTGAGATGCTGCTTTCCGTTCCGAGCGAGAGCGGTTATTATTAAAGGAATAACGGCTAACGTCTAACCCATATTAGAATAAATTTAGTTGGTTTTGGTAAGAACTGTGGAGTATGATGTATCAAGAAAATGAAAACGTTTTAGAAACAAGCACCGCAGTATTATTTTCCAAAATTATGTAAAAAGCCAATGCATATTTGCCCAGATTTACTTGCGTACAGATTGTCGTGTACTTATACCGAAGATAGAATGCAAGACGGTGTCGGTGTGCACTCTACAACGTGAGAAAGAAGCATCCGAAAAGAGGGTCACACAATTACCAAACGATTACCAAATCTGGCGTTGGGCACACGGAACGCGCATCCCTAGTAAAATCGTTATTACACATATACCAGAGTGGTTGTCACATTGAGTATGTTCCATGTCACTAAAACTTAGAGTGTTTGTACTACGCCACCTAGAGTTTTGAGTGCGACTAGACGCAACGATCCAGGGACCCGCTGTCGGAGGCAGTATTTTCATGCAAGGTCAATTTCGAATCGACCAGGTCATTCTTAAACAGTGGCGGATCAGCAAAATGTATTGGGGGGGGGGGTCCAAGCTACGCATAAGATATACGGAGCGTAAATCGCAGAGAAGCTATGCGTAATCCAGATAATATAATTCGTCATGCGTTTTTTTTTGGGGGGGGGCATGGCCCCCTGCCCCCCCTCTGGATCCGCCACTGTTCTTAAACGCGTAAATAGGACTGAATCGAGAATCAATTTTGGGTGCCAGAAATCAACCAAAGGCGCTTATTTAGATGTAATTTGCGCTGTCAAGACAAAGTTCAAGTTAATAAAATAAGATTGACGACGTTTTTCCGAGAGAAAAAAAGTGAATTATTTGTTGAAAAAAGCGGAGATAAATCATTTGACACGTAAAAATCGTTACGTCGATTCCACGCATGTAATGCAGCGTATTTACAATGATCGCTCATTACTGTTATTTTTACTATGCGTCAAAACAACCACAAACTTGAAACTTGAAGCGGAGGAGTAGTCACCTGGGCATGCGTCAGATGGCCATAGCGCTACATTGTTTATAAACAAGCGTCTACCCATGAGCCTTTGCGTTTTGTTGTTATCGTCGCTTGCGGTACGAAGTAAAGCCAGAAATAAATGTTTTGGTGGCACCCGTTAGAGGGCGCATTTGGCATACCGCATTGGCTTGTGGGAGTGCATTGTGTGAGTTGGTCAGTCTAGGCGTTGCCACGTCACAGCCAGCAGCTCGTCAAGTGTATTTATTTTTTAATTATTTTCTAGCATTTCAAGAGCTCTTGGGTAGCATGCATTATTTTTTCTTTTGTTCCGCTTAGAATATATAAGGGTGAAACCCGCCACCCTCCCTCAGGCGCATTCAGCATGTGGCGGGTGTAGATTTCCAGGCTTATTTTTCCCCATCATTTCGTGGGTTTTTTAGCCTTGGTTTTTTCTACACCGTTTTTTGCGCCGGTTACAGGGCACTTGGTGTAGTTATTTATACATTATATTATTGTATTGTAAATAATGATCATTAATAAATGGCGATTAGCTCGTGGCAGCGTGACAACACTCTGAATATTCGGCTGTGCCTACTTTTTTGTTAACCTCTGTTGTAAAAACAAAACCAAACAAATCTGATTCAAATTTTAAGTTATCTTTGAAATGTTGAAATTATTTCGGACTAGTTCACAGAATGGTGGGCTAGTGCCCAGTTACTGTAGGTTGTTTATTTTTATACTATTTATTGTATAGTAAGTGGATACTGTAAATTTCTGTGAAAATATCACCAGAGACCTGAAGACATCAACTGTCGCCAAATGCAATTACAGCGGGAGTGTCGTAATTGTGCGAGCGGTAGACAGCAATGATATGTCGTTGTTTAAAATAAGCGTCTACCAACGAGCATTTCGCGTTTTAGGGTGCGTTTTATGTTATAAACTGTCTAAGGTTTGTAGCTTTGACATGAATTAATCGTATTTAATTAATTATAACTAATTTATATAAACATTTGTGTCATAAACTGTGTATCAAATTTGTTTTAAATCAAAGTTTTCACAGACATGGATGGGTGGCTGGGCGGTCCTTTCGTTTCAAATCACATTTGTCCCAAGTCGATTCGTCCCACAAGATTATTCGCCCCACAAGACGATTCATCCCAATCTCGATTCGTCCCACAAGACGATTCATCCCAATCTCGATTCGTCCCACAAGACGATTCATCCAAATCTCGATTCGTCTCACAAGTGGATTCGTGAAATGTAAGGATAGCCCACTACAATAGTGAGATGCTGAATTGTTCGAGTTACATACATCGAGTTACGAAAACATCTCCAGCTACAAAATGACCACGCCCATATTTCAGAAACCACGCCCACTTTTAATAAACCACGCACAAATTGTAACTCGATTTTCATTTGTGTTGAACGTCCACATTTAATAACTCGAAGTTTAATTAACAATTAACCGAACTTTCGTGAGTTACGGACAACATATTATTTTATTTTTGTTGAACGTTCAAATTTAGTGACTCGAATTTTAATTATCATTTAACCGAACTTCGAATTACGGGAAACATACATTGTTAAACAAAACAAAAAATCTATGCCTAAAAAATGAAGGCGATGTTTATAAGCAAGTCGCAATTAAAACCGTAGATCAGTAGGTTGAGATTATTTCATTTATCTGTACGTTTATTAAGGACACTTGACAACCTGGGCACCTACATACGCTTTCATTACATTATACAAGTAAGTATGATTGTGTTGGGTAATCATAATTCGTGTTATATAGCAAGCGTGTCAGTAACTACTAGTACATGTAATTACAGTTAGTCGAACCCGCAACAGAAACCGACAAGACCCAAGACATAGCACACACTGTACATCGTTATCAACTCCTTGCACACAAACATGGAAATCGACATCACCTTGCGCAAGATCGTAATGCCACCAAAAAAGAAATGGGATGAATGTGAATTGGAACCAAATATGAACTGGGACGAATCGACTTGTGAGACGATTGTGAGTTGGAACGAAATGACTTCGAATCGTGGCTATACACACAGTCAGCTGGCGCACACGTGATAATAAAATAAATACATATTTACTACATGGGGCCGCCATCTTGAATGACGCATAAAACTAAATAAGAGACAGCTGACTGTGGCTATACATGGCCATTCAGGCGTGAATCTCATACACAATAAAGAGGTCGCCTAAACTTTC